TTCTAGCCCTGGGTTCACCTTTCCAGCTGCACCTGGAGACATTATTTGTCCAAAGCAGGCTTATTAAGGCCTGTCCTTAACACAGACGGCAATGTCTCTGAATGTCACATGTGTTTAGCGAACCTGCTTGCTTAGTGTAGAACTCTATTTTTAGTAAGCACCAAAAAAAAAAAAAACCCAGATACTGTATCACAGCACCTCATTTGTCCCTATTTGTTTACCAGGCTGTGTCCCATAATAGCCGGGGGCAGGCAAGGGCAGGGACCACATCTAATTTGTCTCTCTACCCCCACAGGGCCTGGCACAACACCAGCATTCAGTGTGTTTGCCGAACGAACGAGGTTTTAATTGTCCCCTGTGAATAGGTTGAGAGCAGGTGTTCCCAAGCTGAAGTGCAAGCGACAGGAGCGAATGGGCCACAGAAGGGCCCGTGTCTCTCCCTGAGAAGTGGTATGAAGGCAATGAGGGGGAATTTGCAGGGGAGTGGGGATTGGGGTTGCAGTGGGGGACAGGGTGGGGGCGGCCCAGTGTGTGGGGGAAGGGACACACGTGTGTAGTGTGCACATGCATGGAGCATGTATGTGTCTGTGCAGGGTCTGGGGCTTTCATCAGCTTTGCAAAGGGCTGTGACCCCAAAAGTTTAAGAATCTCAGGAGTCAACTCTACAAAGCAACAGGCAGCGATAGAACAGTCTGCTTTCCTTTCCAAAAGGTCAGAGTTGGTGCCGTATGCTCGAGCTTACCAGGAATGGAAGGAGGAACGCCCCAGACCTACTGAGGCAAAGCAGACACACGCACCTCCCCCGTGTCTGTCTCCAAGCCAGGACACTGGACATCCAGCACCTCTGCAGGTGACCAGAGAGTCCCAGTGCCCACCCATCTCTCCCAATGCATTATAAGTTGGGAGGAGTATGGATCCACTGAAGTCTCACACGCACAAGGGAATTCGACTTCTGAACTGCCTGCGACAGCCAGCACATCTTCCCCGTCCAAGCCGGGCTCAGTGCCCCCTCCATCAGGACCCCACCTCCCTGCCCCCAGTCTGTCTATCACCATGCACTTGGCTGTCGCCTCTACTAGAAGAAAAATAAGTCTACTTTGCTCATCTCTGGAAAATACATTTGATACCTAGGCAGATGAAATGGATAATTTCTTAGAAACATACCAGGCACCAAAATTGACTCCAGTAGAAATAGAAAGTGTAAACAGGCCAATTTCTACAAACATAGCAGAGAAAGCCATAGAGAAACAACTCCACAAATAAGTACCAGGCCCGTAAGTGTTCACAGACAGCGTCACAGAGGAATTCTATCACACCTTCAGAAACCAGAGTGCACATAAGTTGTTCCCAAGCATAGAAAAGGAAAAAAACCTGAGAGCACACAAAAAAGCCCATTGCAGACAAATATCACACATGAATACTGCTGAAAAAATAATCTTAAATAAAACATTACCAAACCACAACCACAAGAATATAATACACAGCGGCCAAGTGGGGTACATCCCAGGAAGGTTTCAATATTAGGAAATCTAGTAATAAAGCCAACATATTAATAGGTCTAAGAAGAATAAAATTTTATTTCTCCACGGATGCCAAAAAGCCTTTCGTATCATTCAACTCCCATTTCTAACAAAAACTCTCAAGGAAATAAGAATGAATGGGGACTTGTTTAACACGATAGAATACATACACCTCCACCTAAAGCCGACCCTAGACTCTTGCTGGGTTCAAGAACAAGGCAAGGAGGCCTGCCGCTTCCTCTAGGCTGTAACACCCTGCTGGAGCTGTTCGTTAGCGCAGTTAGACGAGAGAAAACAACAGGCAACACCAGCCCTCTGAGGGCAGGAGCTGGGGCCTGGTCCCCACTGCTCCCCAGGACCTAACACAATAGCTGCTCCCTAGCAGGGCAAGTAAATAAACAATGGCTTGCATGAACTGGAACACCTCTATTAACGAAAGCAAAGGGTTGATAAAATGCTAGTAGCAAATCACACCCTGTGTTAGCCTACTTAAATGGGTTAATCCATTCAAAGTGGACAACAGCCCTATGAGGTAAATACTATTTTTTCAGCTGTTTTACAGATAAGCAAACTGAGGGCCAGAGACGTTCAAGGACTTGCTCAAGATCACCCTGTCGGTAAATGCTTTAAGTGCCAGCCCAGCCGTGGTCCCGGGGCCCTTGCTAACTGCTTGACACGTGTCTCCACCACAGGAGGGAACGGGGACCCTCCACGAGAGAGCCCAGGCCCTGCAGTGGGCCAGTATCACGCCTCAGCTCTGCCTTCCTGGGAAAACTGCTCCACCTCTGTGTGCCACAGCGTCCTCCTCATCAAATGGGGGTGCTAACAGCGCCTGCCCGCCAGGGCTGGAGGGGTATTACGGGGCGCTAATAAACACCTGCTACATGCGAAAGCTCCAAAACATGAGCATTCAACCTCCCCAAACCTCGACCAATTCTAACGATGATGTCTGTCCCACCCAAAGGCCTTTTCCTTCCTTGGTTTCTGCCAAGCCCAAGCCCACAGTTTAGGGAACACTCCCTGGCACCACCAATACGCTGTCATCTGGGGCAAAGCCTAACAACTGCGCAAAGGCCAGTGCTGGCCGCTGGGGAGGCCCACCATGCACAGAGCGGTGACTGCTCGTGGCATCTGGGTAAGCCAGAGCCAGACCCCACCTGGGACAGCTCACACTGGCCTCTCGAAGCTCACCGTGTCCCTGCACTGCATGGGCGCTGACTCTTCTGTGCTGCCTACCTCTCGACAGTCATTATTTCGCAGATTCCAGAGCATAGCTCTCTACTCCTGAAGGGTGGGCTTTGCATACTAAATCCTCCCAGAGAGCATAGTTTGCAACAGAGTTATTGTACGGTGCAGGAACTTGACAGGTGCCACCTCGGCCAGGTGGTCAAGGTTGACATCAACAGGCTAAATCGTGTTGACGGCACGTCCCCTCGAAGTGATGTGAGGCGGTGAGCAGGGTGCTTTACCTTTGGGGCCTTCCTTCCCGAAACTCTCAGCCCTCTTCTAATCATGAGAAAAATACCGGAAAAACCCTTCTGGACGGACAACCTATAATACCCTACAACCAGCACTCCTCAAAACTGTCCAGCTCGTAAAAAAAACAAAACAAAGACATTCTGAATCTACATAAAGTATAAACTTTAGTTAACAATAATGTGTCAATATCGCTTCATAAATTATAACAGATGCACCATACTGATGTGAGATGTTAATAATATGAGGGAATTGGGTGTTGCGTACATGGGAACTCCGTGCTATCTTTGCAACTCTTCTATAAACCTGAAACTGTTCCAAAAAATAAAGTTTATCAAAAATAAAAAAAAATTCCAGGGCTTTCTCTGGAATTTAGATACCCATCTGGTGGCCACCAAGCACCACTTGCCAAAAAAAACTATGAAAAGCACCTCCCTTCAGATTTGGCCTGGAAACTGTTTCCCTGGAAATACCCCCACCCCACGGGCACACACACAAAAATAAAAGTTAGCTGATTGGGAATCTGGGAGGGGTGTCAGTTCCCTGCAAAACATGACTTTGATCTTAAGGAACAGAAAGACCACCGATGTCAGCGAGGGCTCCTGTGGGTTCTTAACTGTATGGTTTCGAAGCAAAGGACGCCCTCCAGATTGCCGCTCTGGGAGACTGGTGTCTTTTGCTGACTATTTCCAACTCCAGCCCAAACACAAAAATCACTAATTACCATCTCCAGGTATCCAAGCAAAAGCGATACCCAAAGTCAAAGCAAATGCCTCACCCAAGGTGGCCAGAGAGGACACCCGCCATAGGAAAATGAAAACTCCTCCACTCATCTGCCTAACTCAGCGCCGGGAAAACAGCGAGGCACCGAGCACAGAGCACCCCGACAGGCTTCCTACACCAGCCGGGGAGCACGGCCCGGCCCACGCACCAGATGCGGGCGGGCTCCGAGCGTCTGGAAGTTACCAGCAGGCTTGCCCCAGCCTTCTACAAGCATGGGCTGGGCTGAGCTGGGCTGGGCTGTCAAAATCAGGAAGCCTGGTTGGGTTTCTTTTTGTTTTTTCCAAGACAACCTGCTAACCAGAAAAATACAGTGAGGTTGGGCTTATGACCTCCTCCGCCTCCTCCTCCTCCTCCTGACGAGTGCTCCTGCTAAACACGTGAAATGACAGATGCGATCTCCGCCCAGCCTGGGGAAGTCCCCCGCCCCCAGCGACGCGGGGCGGCCGCAGGCACAGACCCACCGAGTCTGGGCAGGAATAGCCGGCGTCCTCCCGAATCCACACTCCGGCTCCCCTGCACCCCCACGTCCCCCCACCCCCGAATCCTCTGCAGCCGAGGGGAAGAAGATCACTGCACGAAGCTCAGGCTGACCCAGGGGGACGCGCACAGCAGCAGCCAGGGAGGAAATGGGCCGGCCGCGCCCCAGAGCCAAACCACCCCGGCACCAGACAGCCTCTTCCTCAGCTCGCACCACGTCCCCAGCAGCCGCCTCGCACGAGGTGGGGGGGGGGGTGGGCACAGCGCTGTCTCGCTCCAGCGCCTGGAGGGAAGGCGCAGCTTCCAGCCCTGACAATTCCGTGCAGGGCACCCCTCTGTGCATGCCCCCCCACTAACTCATCCTCTGCTTCCTCACCTCCCCCTCCAAAGGCAAGTAAACCACTTCCACTGCCCTCTGACCACGCAGTCCCAGGGACGGGCGAGCAGACGCCACCCCCAGCTGGGGACCTGCCGCCTTTTGCTTTGCGGGCAGTGGCCCTCAGGGACAAGCCACAAGGGACTGGAAACCGACTCCCCGACGGGGCAAGAGTGAGCCGACCGCCCCCTAAGGGTGGCGGCGGTCACTGACGCCACCTCCCCTCCCTCTCACCTGGGCAGGGGCACCCTCCCCTCCAGGCCCCCGAGGGAGTGGGCCGTGCGGAGCGTGCGGGGGCTCTGCGCCCACTCCCCAGGCCCCAGCCCCCGCCCGGGCTCGGGGGCCAGGCCTGGGGAGCCTCCACCGACCTTCGATAGGCAAATAGTCATAGTCGAAGAGGATGGAGAAGTCGAACTCGTCTTGGGGGCTGCCCCCTGGCTCGTGGCCCGGGCCGTCCCTGCCGTCGGGGTCCGGGGGCTGCTGCTCCGGGGCGTCCATGGCGCTCCAGGCGGCGGGAGGGCTGTGGGGCCGGGGCCGGGGCCGGGGCGAGGGCGGGCGCGGCTTTCTCCGTGGCCCCTCGCCCGGGAAGGCGAAGGCGGCAGCACGCCGGGCGCGGAGGGGGCAGGAGCGGCGGGGTCACTTCCCTCGTGGGGACGCACGCCGGGTCCGGGACGGCGCGCCGGGCGCAGCGGGTCCTGGACGCGCCGGGGGAGCTGCGCAGCGGCGGCGCGAGCTTCCTGCTCCGGGAGGCACCTGTTGCAGCCCGAGGAGGGGGGGCGGGGAGGCGGGGACAGGGCGGCCAGGCCAGCGGGGGCGGGGCCGCCACCCGGGCCCGGGGGAGGGGCGCGCGCCGGGCCGGCCCGCGCTGGGGAGGAAGGAGGCCGCCCGCGGGCCCTGCCAGGGCGCCGTGCTTAGCAAGGGGCCCAGGCCACCGCCAGCCGCTCGTTGCCTCCCACCCTTCTGGGGTGAGCGCAGCGCGCCCTGCCATCCCCAAGGTGTAGACAAGAAAGCTGCTGCCACTGGTACTTTTGCCCCAGGGAGCCCACTGATCCCACCCTTTTCCCTCCTTTTCTCCTCCAAGGGGGGTGAGGGCACCCACTCCCTTCTATTGCAGACCTGTGTCTCCAGGAGCCTGCGTGTGCTGGCAGCTGTGGCATGCCCCCCCCCAATCCCCAGGGCCTGGGAAGGAATCACAGCTGTGGCATGCCCCCCCCTCTGAGAGGGAGCGCAGGTCCCGCTCTTACAGCGACACTGCTTGGCCACCCACCACATGCCAGGTGCTGGATGAACCAGACACTGTTGCCCTGGGAATCTCAGCTTCTGGCAGTGGGGAGATAAACAGGGGACAAGAAGCATCTCCTTAGGGTGCCGGGATAGGGAGAGAACTCACCAGGGGTAAAGCCTGGGATTCAGAGGTTGCAGACCCTTGGTGGTCAGGGAGGGCCCTCAGGAGGTGACATTTGGAGGAACCTGATTGCTGGGAAGAGGTGGGGCAACTGTGTTCTGGCAGTGAGAACCAAGGGAAAGAGCCAGAGCTCCTAGGGGCTCAGAGTGTTGGAGGCAGAGCGAGGAGCTCAGTGCTGGTGCAGAGGTTGGCCGGTAACAGGCACACCTGATGCTTGTTGAAAACACAACTCCCAGGCCCCTCCCTGGAGTTCATGATTCTGTAAGTCTGAAGTATGGGCTCAGGAATCTGTTTATTTCTTTAATTATTATTTGGAGATAGGGTCTCCCTCTATCTGCCTGGGCTAGAGTACAGTGATGCGATCACAGCTCACAGCAACCGCAAACTCCTGGGCTCAAGCCATCCTCAAGGCTCAGCCTCCCGAGTAGCTGGGACTACAGGGGGCACCACCACGCCCAGTTCATTTTTCTTATATTTTGTAGAAACAGGGTCTGGATATGTTGCCCAGGCTGGTCTTGAACTCCTGGCCTCAAGGGATTCTCTCACCTCAGCCTTCCAAAGTGCTGAGATTACAGGTGTGAGCCACCGTGCCCAGCCAGGTATGTGTGTTTTTAATCAAGCATACAAAGTTAATGTTATGAACAGGTACGTTTGGCAAACACTACGTAGGAAGCCAGTACCACCCCCCGAAGAAAACACTTCCAGGGATCTCGGCCAAGTTAGCCAAATTCAGAAAACAGACTCACCGTGGTAGAAAAGGAAATCGGTACCGTGGTCTTCCGTCCCAGCAGCACTAGAATGAACTGGGACACCTTTTTAAATGCGTGGGCTCCGGCTGCAGTCTACACCCACTCGACCTGAATGTCTGAAGATATTTTTTAAAAAGATCTCAGGTGAATCCAAAGGGCAGTGTTGAGGATCAGATTAGGTGGGAGAAGTCCTAAGAGCCCTGTGAGAACTGCAACTTGACCCCAAGTGACTCTGCCATGAAGGGGACTTGTGCAGGGCTGTCAATCTTCATCCCACAGTATTTACTGAGCACGTGCCAGGTACCTGGCCCTGCTGCAGGTGTCGGGGATGCAGCCGTCAACAAGACACAGTCTCTACCCTAATCAAGGTTACCACCTGCAAGCAAAGCAGCACAGCAATGAATAGGGTTTTCCAAATTGTACTGAGACCAAGGGTTCTTAACCCAAACTTCACGTTAGAATCACCTGGAGAGCTGCTCAAAATTCAAATACCTGGGCCCCGCCAGACATCAATTTAATCAGAATGTCTTGGAGTGGGCTCAGGCATCAGTATTTTGTAAAAGCTCCAATTTGTGGCCAGAAGTGAGAACTGCTGGTTTAGACTCAAACTCCTTTGCAGTCCTGGGCCTAGCTCAGGACTCATTTCAGAGTCTTGGGGAGCACTTTCTGGTTGTCAGAGCATAAAGAAACTCTTTTCTTTGTTTCCTAACTATAAGCACAGCTATACTGTGTGTATCCACCAAGCACCTTAGGGGGTGGCTGATATATTTAGGTGGAGAAGGCAAGAGTCATGACTCTGGCTAGGATACTTGTGGCCAAGAATCTAGAAGGAAATGGATTCCCATGGGTCCTTATGACAGGGCCCCAAGGTCCAGATGCTGAAATTTGGTCAGGGATAATAAGGGAACCAGCCTTCCCTTGTGCTGTAGAAAAGGAGAAAAGCTGGTGACCCTCCTACAACACTCACATCTGTTCTCGTTCCTCCACCCCATAATGATCACAAGCCTCTAATCCAGTACCTACCTGCTGATTGTGCCTACACAGGATCATTCCTCCCTTCTTCTCATAACAGCACCCCAGTGTGTTCCTTTGGGAAACTACTCTATACTCTTGACAGAGCTACCAACCCCATTGCCCCACCTTCCCCTGGCAAAGAAGTGGGCCTAGATGGCCCACTAGACAAATGGCCTAGACTGGGCCAATCAGAGAATGCCATCTCCACTGGCCTATGAGATCCACTAAGGCAGATGTCCAATGTACAATGGATGTGTGGACGAATGGATGATGCATGGGTAGATGGATGGATGGAAGAATGAATGCATGGATGGATGAATGAATCCGTGGATGTTTGCATGGATAAATGGAAGAGTGAATGTTTGCAGGGATGGATGGATCAGTTGATCAATGGAAGAGTAGATGTCTGCAGGGTTGGATGGGTGGATGAAGTTTGACTCTCCTTGTATGTACAAGATCCTTAGATTTCTCTTTAAGAGTCTGTCTCCTTGAGGCTTACCCTGGCCACACAATTGCTAGGGCAAGAACCTACATTCTTGTCCCCAACTGGACAACCTCTTGAGATAGCCAATAATAAAATGAAATATTAAAGAGAAGATTACTTTATAACCAGTCAAGTGCTGTAAAAACTTCAGCCTTAGGAAGGATGGTTCAAGTAGTTCTAAGTAAGACCTTAACTGCCTCAGTGGTCCCTCTGAACAGTGGATATACTTTCAAAGTGTCTGTGATTTGAAGTCTGCACTAGAGCAGTCAGAGTTCTTGCAAGGGAAGGGGTTCAGACTGGTCCCCAGCCCATGGAGGGTTTCTGCTGGAGCAGTGAGGAGTAGGAGGGTTTCCTCCTCTAAAGCCCACCTTGATTGGGGGGGGTTGAGGGAAAGGCATATTTTCGACTCCAAAACAAATAATTTGTGTTCTTAGAAGCAGGGGCCAGGAGCAGAATGCATGACCTTTATGCATCTAGTGGCCACCCCAGGTGGTGGCGGGTGGGGGATGGAGTCCTTCAACCTGCTGTCACCCCTTCTCCCTGCCCTGCAGCCGACCGGCTTGTGGGCGTCCTGACTTTTGAGTTTTCCCCCGATCTCTCCAGCCAAAGTGCAATGGGGAGCTGGTGAAGCCACGGAGAGTTTGAAACTCCAGACACACTGGCACCATCTGACCCCGGCCCAGGAACTCAGCTCACGTCAACAAGCATTTGCCCCGAAGTATAATTACAAACGGAGACGCACACGTGAAAGGAAAGCAGGATGTGTCACAGGGCTCGGATCGAGGAAATCTGATGTAGACGGGGGTTCAGGGAAGGTCTCCCCAGGGACGTGATGTTCAGGGCTTCCGCCTAAGAGATCAGTCGGGAAATGAAACTGCATCAGGAGAACCCAAGTAACTCTGAAACAAAATCTCTCAAAAACTCTGAGAGAGAGAGAGAGACAGAGACAGAGAGGAAAAGAAAAAGACTGTTCTCCATAAAGGAAAGTGTCCTGTGATAGAAAATATGCTGTTGGGGTAGATGTGATCCCTCCCTCCCCTTCCAAGCTGACCTTCCTGAAGGTCCGTGGCACCCGCGGGCATGAAGACATAACCATGTGGCAGCGGCCGGGCTGCTCTTGTGGTACAATAAGGAAAAGCCCAGAACTGGGAGGCCCAGGATCCAACCTGAGTTCTTCCTCTAACCCACGCTGTAGCCTTTAAGCAAGACACCTGACTTTTCTGTGCCTCAGTTTCTCTTGTAAAACAGGATGGCTGACTCAGATAATATCTGAGTTACCACTCCAGCTCTAATACTCATTTGACACGAATAAGGAAACCACCACGCTAACACGAGTAGCAACCAGGGCTGGCTTCAGGGGTGTGGCGTGCAGAGCCCCACAGCACCCCACCCTTGGAAGAGCCCGAGCTTAGAAGGACTCTGCACTGCAGTCTGCTCTGCTGTTGTCATCATAAAATTCTTAATTTTGGAACAAAGGGCTGTGCATTTTCATTTTGCACTGCACCCTGAAAATTATGCAGCCAGTGCTGATAGCAGTAGACAGATGCTCTTCAACTTACAATGGGGTTACATCCCTATAAACCCATCGCAAATTAAAAATGTCTTGTCAAAAATGCATTTAATACACTTAACCTACCAAACCTCATAGCCTAGCCTGGCCTAGCCTAGCCTGCCTTAAATGTGCTCAGAATACTTACGTTAGCCTACAGGTGGGCAAAATCATCTAACGCAAAGCCTATGTTATGATGCAGTGTTGCTTATCTCATGTAATTTATGGAATGAACACTGCACTGAAAGTGAAAAACAGAATGGGTGTATGAATACTCAAGGTATGGTTTCTAGTGCATGTGTTTCGCTTTCACACCATTGGAAGGTCAAAAAATAGTCAAACCATCATAACTCAGAGACCATCTGTGTAATGAATAAATCACGAATTCTTATCATGCACCCCACATCCTGACAGCCCCCCATTACAATAAAACACTGCCTATAACAGGCAGGCACTGAAACGCTTCATGTCTGATTCAAAAACTAGGAACATTCTTTCCCGGATTCCAGACGTGATCTCCGCCCCAGTTAAAGCACACCCA